AGGGGTGAATAAGGGATCTTTTGGTCCATGCAGGCATTATGTGTTTTTTAAATGAGGGACCAGGTTCTCTACTAGTAGTTACTTTTTCAGCAAAGGCTTTGTTTTTCTACTATGACTGACATATGGCCTTACAGTTTTCTTTAAGTTGTCCATTGTTACCGCAGTGGGTGCAAAGCCAATTGTCAGGTATAGTAGTGTACTTCCTATAAGGGTTGTAAGGGATCTTTTCCCTTTGAAACCCAATCCCCTACCTGTTTCCCCCATTGTTGGAGTACATGGCAGTGATAGAATCAGAGGACCAGGTCCACTTGAGTGATTTATCAAGATCACTCTTCACTCTACTAGGTCTTCCTGAAGTTGTTTGTTTTTCTCAAGTTCAACACACAGACTAAACTGCACTATCTTTAGCTCATTTTCAAGCTTAGTTTGTGCCTCGCTTGAAACTCCCTTTCCTTTATGATAATTTTCATCCCTACTTTCCATTGTGGGTTTCCCAACTTCAAGTCCATTACTACCACTAGAAGATCATCTCTTTCTTGTTCTACATTTTCAATCCTTTTCTTTAAGACATTTCTTTCTTTATTCGGGTTCTCAATTGACTCTCTCAGATCGACTGCAATTATTACTAGGTCATCTCTTGACTGTTCTGCTTCTCCTAATTCAACTGTTAATACATATCTGTCATTTACAAGACTATGATAAGCATCGATTAGCACATTTTCCAAAGACATGAGTTTCTTAGGAGAATAAGATTTCAGATTTCTTTGAACATCCAGAAAATTTACCTCATCATCATCGTCATCTTCATCATCAGACTGGGCCATCAAAGCAAAACTTGAATCGTACTCGGTTGATTCACTTTCTACTGCCATCATAGAGCTATTTCCTGGTTCATCATCTTCTGCAGATTCGATTGATAAATCTCCCCATATAGCAAGAGCTTGTCTCACAACATTGTCAGCGACATTTTTTCTATTGAAGCGTATGTCAAGAACCAGGTTCCTTTTGGCTGCTTTGTTTGAGTGGATCTTGTACTGATCCTGCTTTAGGAGAGGGCAGTCCTTGATGAAATGTCCTGGCCTACCACATTTATGATAGAGATCATAATTCTTTGGCTTGCTAGAACTTCCCTTTTTTTGGAATGCCTCCATTCTTGTGAACCATTTTCTGGAATATTCTTGTTAGGTATGCCATATCACCATCTTCACCACTTGACTCATAGTTTTCTATTTTGAGGACCAGGTTCTTCTCCTTCTTGGGCTCTCTTCTTTCACTGTCTTTCTTCTTTTTCATCTCATATGTTTTTAGATTGACAACAAGTTCATCAATAGTTAGCTCCTGCAAGTCCTCTGCCTTTGTAATGGTATTCACTTTGCTTTCCCAAGAACTGGGTAGCACGCTTAGGATCTTTCTAACCAACTTGTTTCTTGGTATAGTTTCATCAAGGGAGTGAATCTCATTGATGATGGAGGTGAACTGGGTATGCATTTCTTGGACAGATTCATTGTGTAGCATCCTGAAGAGCTCGTATTCAATTGTGAGCATGTCGATTTTGGATTGCTTGACCTGTGTTGTTCCTTCATGAGCTGTCTGTAGGGTTTCCAAAATTTCTTTGGCTGACTGACATGCTGATCTCCTATTATATTCATCCGGTCCAATACCACATACCAGAATTTTCTCAGCACGAAAGTTCTTCTTTATGGCCTTTCTATCAGCATCATTGAATTCTTTCCATGTCTTGGGAATGGCTACTAGTGGGTCGCCAAGGTTTTTGGTAGGAATAAATGGTCCATCACTTATGACATCCCATATCTCAGAATCTTTAGCCATGATAAAGTCATGCATTCTAGTTTTCCACCATCCATAATACTGTCCATTGAACCTAGGTGGTCTGTACGTAGACTGGCCTTTTTCGTCGTTTGGAGGAGTAGCCATGATGATCCTTTCTAATTATTAACCTAATTGAAATAACCGGCTCTAATACCAATTAATATAATATAAGGGTCCACCAAACTCTATAGAGAACCATGTTCTCTATCAGGTCTAACAGTACACACACAGAGAGCTATAATTAAATGGTAAGAGGAATTTTACGTAGAAAATTACCTGCTCAACGGGATTAAAAGCCACAACCTACCCTTGTAGGATATCAACTTCACTACTCAGCAGCTTTTAGATTACAATCTATGCAACCTAGGAATTCACCTCTTATTCCCTCACTAACTTGTAATACTCTATTACAAGCCACTTTGTAATAACTCTATTACAAAGATTTTACAACACTAACTCTAGCCAAGACTCAAACATACTGGTTTAAGGACATACAATTACTTTATGTGGGAACTGGTCCGTAGTTGTTTTGTTTTTTATTCTTGAAGCACTTGAAAATTGCTTGCTGGATAGTCACGTTAATGAGCTTGTCAAATGTTCAAGTGTTTGTTTTGCCTCCATTGCATGCATATATACATGTGTGACCTCACTTACAATTATGCAAGCAAGGTAGGTAAAAAGTCTTCCCTGGAAAGTTGACTACAAAACTGTTCTGCACAGTAGCGTGTGCAGACAACAATTTTCCAGCTGGAAAGTTGACTTTGTGTAGTCTCCTAAGAAACTGATAGGGACCTGGTCCCTCAGTTGTTCCTTCCACTTCTGAAGAGTTAAATCATATTCTCCGCTGAATCCCATCCTGGGATCTTGTGATCTTGAGGTCTTGTAAATGTGTAACAGGTTTTTATCTGGTTATGTATAGTAAGTTTGTTAGATAATCAAAATATAAAGTAAAGTACTTGTAACCAGAGTACTTGTAACCTATCAATAAGTCAACATTAATGATAGAGCTATAAAAAACAACATGATCCCTCTGAAGTGTCACCGTATATGCACACTAATTATACTTATATATTTAGTGCCTCTCATTGGAACTATTATCAATACCGTACCATGACTGCCCCATTTATTAGTAGTAACTGCCCGACCGGCCGTAGCACGATGGTAAATATATGACTGCCCAACCACTCGTAGATTGATGGTAAATGCATGACTGTCCGACCGACCGTAGTACGACGTTAAATGCATGGCTGCCAGACTGGCTGTAGCACGGTGATAAATGCATAACGGCCCAACCGGCTGTCGCTCGATGATAAATGGAGTTGCATATAACACTACATTATGAATATAAACATCTTTATTGAATGCCTCAATAGAAACTTAGGAATATACTTAGGCATGCTTTGAATATCATTTTAAAATAAGGAATAACAAAGACATCCTTAACTACTAAGAGTAGAACCACTTATGAAATAGCATTACGTTTATGTTTTATTACTTGGATCGTGCCAAAAGAATGAAGGATTAGCCTTAACATATCTTAGCCCACTGGCCCAAGATCTCACCTCGAATCCACTTCACGATCTATACGATAACAAGAATAATACTATTGTCAATCGTATGAACAATTCTCTTAATCACATAATAGAAGATAACATATCCTACAATGAAATGGATAGTATTTCCCCTATTTTTATCATTCCCTCAAGCATGCCATAGGCAAGATAATACAACAACACAAATAGGAATTCCTATGACACATTTTACAACCAAATAATGATACAACGAGTGGAAAGCTCGGCTATGATTATCAACCATACTTCTACAATCTTTTCTTTCCTTCAAAATACATATCAATACCTACACCAATTGTATACTCAAGTTACTCCAACAATTTCCAGTCACAATAAAACTTAGAAAATTACCGGATAATCGATAGAACAACAACAACATCAAAATATGATTTCTCGCTATTAACTCCATAATTCCCATTCCATAATTTAGCTATGGCCTAGATGAATTTAAATACCAAGGAGAGGAAAATTCTTACTTTATTTTCCAAGAAATACTCTTATTCCACCTTACTTCACATTGAAGAAAGCACAGATTAACCAACGCATTAAAATAGAATAACGAGATTGAGGTGGTGCGCAAAACCCGTATATTGATCTTGTGAAAAATTGCATTTTACTTCCTTAAAAAGGCAAGTGTCCTTGCTTCTATATCAATAAATTATCTTACGTTGCAGCTATATAAATATAAGTTACCATTTCAACATAGTTGTTTGCCTTCATTAAAGCCAAGAAAGTGGTATAAAGTCTAAAGTAACCTTTTTCTCTTTACACGTGTCATCCCTAGGTCAACCTTTCATTACATGATGATACTACATATTTTTTGCATATATGGTTGTATAATACTTACTTCCACTTGCCCACATCCCACATGACTTATGTCCACATACTACTTGTTCAATAATCCTAATTAATTTTTAGTCTTACACTACAATCTTCCGTTTAGCCATCTACGCATATAATTGATTTATGGATCTCATTTCACTTAAATACTAATCACTTTTAACCTACTTCATATACCCTAGCTACTATCATGGTCATGTGGTATAGAATTAGTATATAAATGTGGGAAATTATAGCTTGGACCCTTTTTTTTATCCCAAAATGTCAAACTTCTACGAAACTCATTTGCTTCGATTCGTTTACCCTCTGACCTCCACAACTTTACTTATCACTCGTTACAAAAAGCATAATTGCTGATAACCTCGAAAATAATCTTTTCCTTAAACTTATGTCAATTATCTTACAACAAATCCAACATACAAAAGTATGGGATGTAACAATATGAAGATATTAAGAACATGTTATGAAGATTTGAAGGATAGATGAACGGATGAAGATATGAGAAACTTGAGAGTAACTTAAGGAAGTTCGCGGTCAGAAAGTAAAAAGGTGAAAATAGAAAACTGGAGCTTTTATAGGGAAAGAGTAATGATTGCGAGACGTTTCAATTTTGGTAACTGTCGGGGGTGATCAACCGACGACTGATGTGTGTTCAAAATCAGAGAAACATGACTAATGTGATGTTTGGGTTTGTCAGCTTGCTCATGATGTGCCAGTGAAGGAGCCAGGTTCAATTAGTCACTTCTTATCGCTCCTATAATGTACTCTCCGAGAAGTGAAAGGATTATCTATTTACAGGTAAAATCGGGGATAGAGTTACCCTCGATTTCCCGTTGTAGAATGAGAAACGACATTACTTGTCACTAGCTCGAGTGAAACTGAAGGTACCAATGGATCGGAACCAAGGACGGACAGACGGACGATACAACGGGTCTCGTGCATGGCCAAACCCGAAAAAAGTCAAGCTCGAGTGAGATGAATAATTGAGGGCAAAAGAAAGATGGTTAAATGAGACAAATTGGGGGGCCAAAATATGCTCCATCACTCGGATATTGCATCACGGATCATGCTCGATGTTGGCTACATATCATATTTTCGTGGGAGAAACGGAAGAAAAGATTTTTACCTTATTTAGATTTGTATTAGCGTTAAAACTCCTCTACTATATAAAGAGGAGAACTCTTTTTTTTATAGACTGTTGGCATCCATATCAAAGCAATAAAGTAGACTTTGGCTTTTAGCAATTGTTTAAGTATTCTTCAGTTGTTCATCCATTTAGTTGGAACCGAGCTCTATCTCGAGGGCTCGACTGAAACCGATTGTTAGCATTTAAGCCTAACGCAAGGCTTAATTACTTCGCCATATTTGGTTTGATCATTTTATCTCATTTTATTTTAATTACTTACTGCTTTTTGATTATTTGTGTTAAATTAAATCACGTATCCTTTAAATCACGTACAAATTTAATTATTATCCGTTTTAAGTGGCAAACAAATAGTTAAATTACTTGTGGTTGTTCAATTGGTCATTCGAAAAGGGAATTTCTTGTAAGGTTCTGTCCAATTAATAGTTGGTGGTGGGTGAGGGCACTTTAAATGTCGTTAGCGCGTACGCACCACAAACAGGCTTGGATGAGGATATTAAAAGGCACTTTTGGGAGGGGTTGGATGAGATTGTTCGTAGTATACCGCCTTCTGAGAGGTTATTCATAGGAGGAGATTTCAATGGTCATATTGGGTTATCTGCAGGTGGGTACACTGAGGTGCATGGCAGATTTGGTTTCGGAGAGCGGAATGGAGGGGGCATTGCGCTGTTGGACTTTGCCAAGGCTTTCGATCTAGTCATTGCAAACTCGAGTTTTACGAAGCGGGATGAACATTTGGTTACTTACCAAAGTTCGGTGGCGAAGACTCAGATTGACTATCTCCTCCTCAGGAGATGCGACAGAAGGTTGTGCGAGGACTGCAAGGTTATCCCAGGTGAGAC